GGCTCGTTGCAGCCTTCTGAGTTTGACAGTGGAATGGATACATTCTCTATACAGGCAGACAAGCCTAAATATCAACCAAATAATGTTAATGCTGTGCCTAAAGCCATTCCTGTAAGGTATGATTTTTCATTTGTACATTTTTTAGCTTAAGAAGTTGCCTGTAAAATCACAATGCCTTTTTGCAGTGCTTCCATTCTGTGGTTTGTTGCTGTTAGTCTGACCAGACTCAAACCTATAAATGAGGACACTTGACAATACAGCAATTACAGAAGTTAATCTTTGAGAATTAGTGGACAAAATGGCTTTTGGGAAGAAGTGCAAGCTAGGCACCCTTTTTTCCTTTTCTGTCTGTCTATATTCAGTCTTTCATGTTGAAGTTTGTTCAGGTGTAGTTCTTATTCTTGACTTAAGTCTTTTTTTAAGTTTTAACATATATCTTAGTCTGAGCAACCCCTCTCCAAAAAGGAGCTAGAAGTTACTGGGATTCTTCAGAATACTATTACAGTTTAGTCCAGTTAGGCAGTGCTGTGCATCTGGGAAGGCTGTTTCAGCACAATCTCAAAAAGTGAGTTTTTAAAAACCCAACTAGTTCTGAGTGATCAAAGATCTTCAATTAACTGGTGCCTGGGTCATTTTCAAAGTAAATTTTTCCTTTGCTTTTCAGCAAGGATATTCTTTCTCTCTAAGCTTAAACAAAAATTATGTTACTGTATTTGGCTGCTTAGATACCCCACACATTTGATCTGTTCACTTAACTTTCTTAAAACAGGACTAACCTAACAGGTCTGTCCATTGGTAAATGAATCCAGTAGAGTGTGCTACTGATTTAGTATATAAAAAGCCAAGCTTAATCTGTATCTTTCGTATTTAGCCCTTCAGCTTTGGAGGATGATGAGGAGGAGGATGGACACACTGTTGTAGCAACAGCAAGAGGTGTGTTTAACAGCAATGGTGGTGTATTAAGCTCCATAGAGACTGGAGTTAGTATAATAATACCACAAGGAGCCATCCCAGAGGGAATAGAACAAGAAATCTATTTCAAGGTCTGCAGAGACAATAGCATCCTCCCACCATTAGACAAAGAGAAAGGTAAGAGTTGGCTTTATGTCTTAATAGAACATCTATTAGTTATGTGCTGACTACAAAACACAGGATAAGATAGACTGAGTCCACAATGATCACAAGTGAGGAATACAAAGGAAAAATGGTTCTGTTCAAACTCTTTCAGGTGGGACAATGTTCAGGGCTTCTCTTTTGACTAGAGGTGCACTGATACATTGGTCCGATATCAGATCAGTACTGATATAAAGAAAATTGATTGTGTCAAAAATTGGCCTGATGTGGCTGATTAATTTGGCCAAGAAATGTGCAGCACAGCATGCAGACAGCGAGGAGCACAGCCCAGCAGCTTGGAGAGCAGTGTGCAGCTGGAAAGTCTGGTATGATGCAAGGGAGGGCAGATCAAGGCCCCTGCAATGAGGGAGGAGTGGGGCTGGGGCAAGTGCTGCCCAGCCGGAGCAGGGCAGGTGCACTACAGAGCTGGGCGGCTCCCACTGCTGCACACCACTTGTTCGGGAGCCTCTGGTCCCGTGCTCGCCTACTTATCCAGTGGCCCCTGTCACTGCACCCACTGCTCGCCAGCTCCAGCCCTTTAAGAAAAAAAGCAAAACAAGAAAACCCCCAGACTCTCGGCTCCTGCAGCAGCCTCGGGGCTTCGGGGGCTAGTGCGGAACCCCCCACGTGGCGTGGGTCAGCAGGGATCACCCCCCCCCGCCAGCAGAAACAGTGAGCCTGGGTTTTCATGGGTTTTTTTTCTTCTTAAAGAGCTGGAGCTGGCCTGGGCTGGGCACCCATGGAGGGTCTGGGGGAGTGAGGGAGGGGTTGGGAGGCTAATGCAGAGCCCCCCATGCAGTGAGGGGCAGTAGGGATCACCCCCTGCCTGGCAGCACCTGGTGATCCAGGGCTTTTTTTTTTTTTTTTTAAACAAGGGCTGAGAGCTGCAGCAGTCATTGCCAGGCTGGGAGAGGGGTGGGGAATGGGCCTGGCTGATTTGGAGATTTGGCAGTAGCCAGATCTCCGAATCAGGTTCAGCTAAATAGAATCCGGACAGTGATTCAAATCACCGGATCAAATCGCTGTCCCCTGAATTGGCTGAATCTAAAGCAAATACTAGTTGCCTTGTACAGGGCTACCAATCTGGTGTGGGTGCCACATGCAGCAGTCAGCCCTGACTGGCTGTGTTTGCTAGATTGTCCAGTCCAGATTAGGTCCACAGATCAGCCATGTGGACAGGACTGCTCTGGTGCAGGTACTGCATGCAGCAGGCATCCTGGACTGCCCCCCCATGCTCCATGCAACACTGGACTGAAGCCAGCGTGCATGCTACATGTAATGCCCTTGCCAGACTGGCCCACAGGGCCAAATAAATTTGATACCCTTTCATTATGATACTGGGTTCTAAGTCAAACAAGTGAGACTTCTTTTTTTTGTCTTGCTTTCGAGACAAGCACGTGAGACTGTCACTGAATGATAGTGACTGCTTCCTAGAATGCTTTGCATAGCATATTAAAATGACAAAGTACAGTTCTTAGTCCAGCAATGCTTTCAGAGCCCCTCTACATGTCCAGGTAAAGGCATGATGGGATCTAGTGTGCCTCCTGCTATCCCACACATGCATAGAAGGAAGTGCGATTATGGGATCATGCATCAGATCCATCATGCCTTTTTGCCACTGGAGGGGGAGCCCCTGATTGGGCTGCTTAACAGTTAACCAGGAAATTGCATAGTACATGCAACTAGTAGAGGGCCTTATAGTAATCAGTTTTTATTTTATCAAAAGTCATTTCAGAATGCAGACAAATGGAAACCTGTAGTCATTTAGTCAGACGGTACATACTGCCCTCACCTCAAGAGTTCAAGGGGAAGTTCTTTCTACAAAGGGATTTTACTTCAGGAATGTTGCCATTTAAGCACTACTGGTACTTTGTACAAAATATGATTGAAAGCAATCTCCAATTTATAACCTAAATCTAGGGTTAATTTGGGGAGCATGATCTCATTACCTTCTTCAGTGGTTAAATGCAAAGATAAGCTGACAGATCCTTCTATTATGTCTTTGACTCAACAGTAGTCTCCTAGACTCTTATGCAATTTTGTGATCCATCTACCACATACAGCAAGCACATCTGGAAGTTCCTTTTCCCTCAGTTCTCATCACTGTCCACAGTATCATTAGTAGAAGCTGTTGTTTGGACAAGGTTCATACAAATTTTTCAGAGGCATTTATGAAGTAGTTATATGGCATATCAAATGAGAAAATATTTTTTGAAGTAAAATTGAATGTATTCAAGAAGTATGGATTTCTTTTAACAAACATGTATTTTTGTTTTTCTTAACTGTAGGTGAAACGCTGCTCAGCCCCCTGGTTATGTGTGGGCCTCATGGACTAAAATTCCTGAAGCCAGTGGAGCTACGCTTACCACATTGTGCGTCAATGACCCCTGATGGTTGGTCTTTTGCTCTAAAATCCTCCGACTCCTCGTCGGGTATGCTGTCCTCCCTCTGTCCTTTTGGGGCTTTTGGGTGCTATCGTATAATTTAAGTTCACTTGGCTAAAGGTGATGCTGTGTAATGTATAACTCGATCATTGTATTTGTGTCAAACTCTCCATTTCACTTTCATTACAAATGTTTCTTCTCGCGTTTATTCATGATACAGATTCATAGTTAAAATCATGATTGACAGCAGAGAAATACAGTAATGTCTTTTTTACCTTACCATTGCTCCATTCAGTGTTACCACTATTTTTGTGTCTTCCTTCTTGAGGACTGTTACAGCTGCAAACACTTTGAAATGATATTTGCACTAAAATTGGGGGGGATGAGTATGTAACCCTAATTGGCCTATGTACCATAAACTAATGTTGTTTTTTGCTTAATTAACCATATAATACTTTGGCAAATCATAAGTTTAATCTGCATGCCAAATCACTGTTTTTTAATACCTGTTAGCTGTTTCCCTGTTTGCAAGTTGATGACAGTTTAAGGGAACCAGTGTTTCTGTAGAATATTTACAGTTCACCTCTAATGTAGCTGTATTTTCCGCAAGTCTCTTCTTTGTTTCCGCCATTTGTCCCAGAATAGAGGTGGTTATTTCTCGGTTAACATTGCAACCTGGTTGCAACTTTAAGCCTGTTTTTATCTTTACACTCTCTTCTACTTCCATCCTCTTACATGCAACAGGGAAAACAGTGTTGGTTGAAATTTTACACAATGACTGTTAGCCTAATTTATATTTTATGTAAGTTTCAAGCAATTTCATGAAATGGCTGTGAATTTAAGGAGACCTCAAAATTTAATGTCTTTGCACATTTGAAAGTCTTCAGGTTTTATTCAGCTACTTTCTAATGTTATAGTGGAAATACTTATACCATTAATGCATACACATACATATAATACATATAATCTAAAAAATACTTGAAAACGTACTTAAGAATACATTTCGTCTTTAAATGTTTTATTTGCCTCTTGTCACTAATGTATCTCTCCGTCAATACCAGTGTGTTGACACTTGAAAGATTAGCATATCAGTCTCCATGAAGGGGATCCAGTGATTCAGACAGATTAATGGCAATAATTTTTGGGTTTTAATCTATTATTGCATGTACTGCATGGATATACTTTGTGTGTACATAATTGGAAGTGTTAAAATATTGACACTTAGGTTTAAAGACTCAAAATACATAACTTTAAAGAGAATTAATTTTGTAATTGAAAAACCTGTTCATGAATTTACTTGAAATGAAGACACAACTCTTAATCTTCTCAAATAGTAACTTAAATATCTGAGACAGATCTGTTGTCTTGTGTTAAGTGTGTGTGAGAACATGTAGAAGTACTAACACTGTGTGTATTGGCTTTATAACACTACATTTTATTCTGTTTAACTGAAATGGGATGTGTATCATAATCTTGCTCTATGACAATTTCAAAAGTAGGCAATTCTGTCTTCTGATATGTAAGTAGACCATACTGTGTCTTAAATAAATTATTGTTTTCTCTCTTTTTACATTAGCTGGTTATGGGACTCTGATTTTTCAGATGCCTTTAGTAATGGTTTCCAGCATTTTGTTACTTTTTCTATTAAATCTCTTGTTCTATCTCAGCTTATTCTAAATTGTTTTTATGTTCTGTTCTTAAAATGAACTTGACTTGCTCATACTAACCTGTTTTATGCTACACTTAAGTCAGGTACACTGCTTTCAGACTCTTAATTCTCCTTTTAACACCGAGTATGGAGAACTTAAAATTGCATCTTTAGCTGGATGCAACAGTATATTAAGTTGGCTTTGATTTCACACTTATTGCACTTATTAGTTAAGCAAAGGACTCAAGTGAGTGAAAAATCACAGGAAACTAATCTTATTTTCATCTTGGGGAGCAGCAGCCATAGGTTGCATTCATTAGAATCAAATGTTTGGCACATATTGAAAGAAGAAAAATCTCCTGATTTAGAATACTTCACTAATGAGAGTACAAACTGCTCTTATTACAATCTAATTTAACCCTGCATTAATATACTCTGGTATTTCCTAAGACATCTATTTTCAAATTGAGAAGAATTGCAGTATTTACAGGCATGAAAATCCTCCAGTTTAAAATGACTAGCCTTTGCTGAATGCAGTAGTGTTTGGTTTTAAATTTTCTTACCAGACCAAGATAGCTCTGAGTCATTTCTGCTTTCTCTTAGTCTCCACATCAGATGTTGTCATCACTTCAGCACATTGTGTACTTCATATTTTTGTTTCCATGAGTTTTTTGCCAGAAGAGTATGTGAAGTGTACATGCATCTCCTGTAACAATTCCAGGCTTTTAAAACTTGGATGTAGTGGAGTTGGCCTAGTCTGTTGTACAGGTCTTAAGGCAGATCTAGTTTTGGCCCACTGTAGTGAAACAATGTAGTGCCATTTATTCTGTGAACTTTAAAGAACTTTTAATGTATTTTTCTTGCTAATCTACTTCTGATGTGTTAGAATGAGGACACTGCTTTTATACAGCATTATACAATGGATTATTAGGTCAGCAAGTAAAGAAAATTTCTTCAAATAAAACTACAGGGGCAGTTATATATCCAGACTAGAATAACCTCTGTGGTCTGGCTAAAGGGTAACTTGGATAATGCCTCAAGTGACCACAGATGAACAAGAGATCAATGTTAAACTTTACTGAAAGCAGATTTCTTGTTAAAATACCAGCACAACATTTTTCTAAGATTAGTGGTTTTCAGTCTTTTTTTTTGCACCAGTGCTATACTTTGTTCAGAGGCAAATTTGGTGTTCTAGGTCCTTTCTAGGGTAATTCTCATAGTATAAAACAAAATTTCCACCACTTCATAGTGACTGGTAAAAGCAACTGATCCTGAGCTTATGACCATATTGTTCTTGAAAGCCAGTTAAGATGTTCTGTTTTGGGGCTTTTAATGTAGAAGTCTTAGTCGGTGCTTATGAATTAGAGGAGAGTTTGGATGATTTGAAGGGGAAGTGCTGTATTGGTGCATCTCAGAATAAATCTGCATATACAGTGATTTTGGAGTGCCGCCAAATCTATTTTTGAATAAACACAATAATGAGTAATATATTATGTTACAATGTCATACCATCCTTGAACTCTCAGGAGTTACATGAATAAAATACTACCTAGGCTCTTATTGTAAAACATGTTGATTCTGAACAAAAAGTTTCTAGCAAGAGAGGGGGAAAAAAAACAACACATGCCTATTTCAAGATGTATACTGTTTGATACTGGATACTAAACACCAACATTGTGTTTTCCTCCCACAGGTGACCCCAAAACCTGGCAGAACAAGTCTCTTCCTGGAGATCCAAACTATCTTGTTGGAGCAAACTGTGTCTCAGTCCTAATTGACCACTTCTAATCCCTAAATTAGCTGAGTACATAATGTGAAACTGAAATGGACCTTACATATAAACTGAACCACTATCAAGTATTAACTGCTCTATAAGCGATAATGGAACTTCTTGTTTAAGCATCTTGCTCTAACTAACAATGGTTTAGCAAGTATACTCTTGAACCATGGTCAAAATACATGTCACAAACAGGGAGTGTACAGTAGGAATAATGTGGGGTGCGTGTGGGTTTCTGTATGTTGGGGTTTTTGTTTTTAAAGGACACTGCTAATGTTTCGTTGTTGGAAAAGTTTAAAGTACCAATGGGGTATATTAAGAAGAATTGAATTTAGTTCATAGTCCACTGGTGGAAATACAGAATTTGGCCTGTCTTTTTACTTTTGTTTGTTTTAAAATACACAAAACTATATTCTGGTATCAAGGTTTTTAAATGGCTCTTTGGTGTACATGTCAAATAATGTGGCGATAAACTTTGGCTAGCACAACTTAGATGTTTTCCTCTACTAAGAGGGTAATGCAAGCACGTCTACTTACTGTGTATGGAAACATTGTCATGGGAAAGAGAGAAAGCATGTGAGATGACTATGGTTCAGTTGCCTCTCTGGATTTGTAAATTAACCACATTACAGACATATTAACCAGCAGGGATGCCTTACCCTCATGTTTTTAATAGTTTTAGTGCTCATAGTTCTCTGTATTACTAAGTTTGTATGGCTTTCGTGCTTACCTAGATAATATATCATGAGACAGATTGGGGCTTGAGGGAAGGGAAAACTTGTTAACTTGTCAGTTTAGAGAGCAAGTGCTGTTTGTGTTGAGCAAGCAGAAGAAAACCAGAAGAAAATGATGGTATGTTTTCTGCTATGCATTTAAAAATTTAGATGTTATAGAATGCCTGTATATAATGCGTGCATACCACTTTTGTTCTTGGTTTGTAAATTAACTTTTATAAGCTTTACCTTTTTATATATATAAAATATATAAAAACAAAACCGTTTCTTAAGGATATCTTTGTATTCTCATACCTTTTGAGCCTTGAACTTTGACATCTGCAGCAATAAAGCAGCATTTCTACAATACATGAACAAGGACATTTTTTTTAAATGCACAAAGTTGTTACCTTTTTAATTGCTGCATTTAAAGAATATAACTCAGAATTCTCTACTTTGGTTAAATTCTTAAAGTATCCCTACTGTAATTTGTGATAAGGATGCTGTACTATGTGCCCTGAAATGTATTTTTTTACTAATAGACAGTTTATTATGGCACATCAGCACTACTACTGTTTAGATAATATACCACTGCATTCTGTTAATCAGTTATTAGCTTTACAGGTGTGGCTGATTCTTTTTCTTTGCAGTTATTAAAATTACACCTTTCTAAATATACAGAATAAAACTGTTTTTAAAATAATAAAGAAGATTTCTAGTATCTTATTGTTTCTGCAGTGCATTTCTGTGCACATTACCAGAGCAGTTTTCTGTGTTTTAAGGCTGAGATTCTGCCACCCTTACTCAGGTTGAGTAGAATTGTACTTTGAGTAGCCTCACCGAACGGTATGTGCTGTCACTGCAAATTATTTGGGAAGTACAAGTGTGATGTGACCTTAGTGGGGCTACTCAGAGTTATTACTTGATGCAAGTATGACTGGCACAATTGTATCTTGTATCAACAGGTTGACATTAGGCTCAGACCAACTGCAAATTGCTTTGCTTTAATACCTTTCCAGCATGTTTCAGAATCTCATGTCCCTCTCTGAAGAACTGTGTCCAAATTTAATAGAAATCTGCTATACGAGTAGGTATGGTGCTAAAAGGATCTCTGTAGTAAAGAAGCCTTGGTATTATAGATTTAGAAGTTACTATATGTTTAAAGCCAACATTTTTAGAGTTGGACTTGCTCTAATAGTCAGTTGTTCCAACAGTACAACTTAGATTAAATTGAATCGATTTCAATTCAGTTCAGTTGAAAGATAATAAATATATATTAAACTAAATTTTATTGTCTCAGAATTTGGTTGCAGTAATACATACACAAATTCAGTAGGCTGTGGAACTTGCACAGTATGTCTGGCTAACGTGATGCTGTGATACTAGGCCCAAAGCACCCATCAGAAAATGCCAGCTCTTAGTTTTCATTCATTTTTGACTGAGAGTAGATACTAGAGAACTCTTTTGTTGCAAAGAACTGAGAGAGCTCACAACAGGTAAGAATGGTTTTAACACTGTAGATTCCTATTTGCAATCTTTGGATTTATTTTGTGAAGCATGTTTGTAGACCTAGCAGTGCTATCAATACTTGGCACTCTGAGGTATGTTTAAAGGCATCCCAAGGCACCCTGGAGTGCTGCAGCATCCTGGCTGAGAATTAGGGATTTAAGGTATTCACTAGAATTACAATTTGGGACTGTTTGCATGAATGTTCATCCACTGATGACTAAGGTGTCTGTTTCTCTCAAAAGTCTGCTGACGTTCCAGAAATACTCTTAAAAACCATCAAAATGCAACTTCTCTTGGATTTTTTTATTTATGCTCACTGAAGAAAATAAGCCAGCTGCATCTCTCAAACCT